AGGTTAGGGCTGTAGGGAGGGCGCGGCTCGCATAATGATGGCGTGTCTCTGACGGCCGCCGCTGAGAGCCTCATCTAGACGACAGTCGCGTCTTTAACAGAAAGTTATATATTTTGTTACAGTTACTTAGGTTATTTCCGAATACAAACTATGTTTTTGGTTTTTACATAGTTCGAAGGTCATTTTGAGAATTTACCTGCTGTTCTTGGAACTATTTCTACTAAACTTCACAATTTGAGCTAGGAATATGTTTCTACGAATTTGAACTCACGACAACTACATTGATAGTCCCATGTTTTAACTGTTTTTATACTTTATTTGAATTCTATAAAGCGCTGGTGAGTTAATATTGTAAGGCAATCAGCGTCCTTGCAATTTTTTACGTAATATTTTGCTATGATTATCTTGTTAGGTCCGCTAACGGTCGTACCGCTACAATAACAAATGAACGTCAAACAAACGACGCGAATTCACAAAAGAACGCATTTCAATTACCCTTTCAATAAGCTTTGCCCGCGCGCGCACAATTACCTACCAAAAAATGGGGAAACAGGAAAAACAAGGAGACGCAATAATGTTGCGCCCGCAGCGGGGGAGAAGGCTGGGGGAGACAGGGTTGTATAGGGGAGGAGACATCTGTAGTTTCAGAACGTAATTTTGGCTCTACGATACATACCAATTGAAGTTCTTCCAAGTGTTTAAGATATTGGTAGTTAGTAAATATAACTACACTCCTGGTGCTGTTGCACGCGTTTTTTATTTCACTGGCTTTCGCCCGCGACTCTGTGTTTGCAAAGATTCAAGGAGATCCGTTCAGCAGTTTAGGCTACATCCATCCATCCATCTAAACTTACGCATTTATAATATTAATAAGATACTGTAGTGGGTTTTAAAAGTATTGTTTTTGAACAAACAGATGTCATAGACTGTCGTCGCAGTTAGATTTTCCTTTTGACTTCTAACAGTATAAGAATTGAGACTACCCAGATGGGTTAACAATTTTCATTGCAAATGTTAAAAAAGAACTAATAGTTACTAAACAATCATAACACATCCTGTATCATGTAAGACATAGTGTTCAGACTACGAAGTGCAGCTGTCACAAAACTGTCCAGTTTGCGGCTCCTGCAGGGTGGCGGTGCAACTGCAATTCCGGGCTGTCTTCGTTTTGTCCGACGACTATATCGATTGCTGGCGGTCGGTCGAAGTTGACATGTATCGGCGGTACTCTTGTCAGAGCGGTACGACCGCTGTCAGACGATTGGGGATTGTTCTTTTACTTTATCATATAGCAACAGATATTTGATTCATTTCGACATATATGTACAAATGTAGCCCCTAGCTAGTTTGTATACACTGAAATTAACTTTGTTGTAAAAAACAAATTTTAACCTTAGCTATAGACTCTTCAATGAAATAAAATTGTTGCTCCTCTATCTATTCTATCTAATGTCTCATACTTATAAATGCCATCCTTAAATAATTAAAATTACAAGAATCTGTTACTGTTGGTGTCAATATTCATGTAATGGAATGCACACAACATCTCAGAGTTTCGTCCATCAAACATTCGCAATCTTGTTACCAGCGGAAGTGTCGTTGGCATTCCGCTGTAGATGCAGTGCCCCCACTTATCTCACAGTGCCCCCACTCCCCGCGAGCAGTGTCCCCACCCGTCGCGCTTCCACATCCGATTTAATAATCGTAGGATTGTTGACACTGAGCTCGCGGAGGTATCGCTGATAAACGATAAACTTTGTATATATAGATTGAATTTATACGACACTGATAACTTATAAGGTTATTATCCAAGTTACCAAATATGTTAAAGATTTCAAATTATGACGATTGTAAAACACACTACGCCCTTACAATAACATTAAAAATGGCTTCTTAAGTTAGGATTTTAAGCCTCATTTAAATACAATAAAACAAGCAAAATACTTCCTTAATCGATACTAGCTTAAATTTAATACGGGACTAGTTTTAAAAAAATACAACTCAAGGTTAACTTTTAAACGCTTACTAATGGCTATTAATATTTAAACACATTTAAGTAATGTTTGCGGATTGCAGACCATAGCTACAACGTCGCGGTCCCGCGGGACTCATTAAAACGGTGGAGCCACGCGACTTGTTCATGTTATTGTTTGAAGTTAGCTAAAGTGGTAATTTGACCTATGTTAACTTATATTAGCAACCAATATGTAAAAAGTAAGTGTACTTATGTAATACAAATCTAAGCGTTTTTAAGTGAATTAAAAAACCCATTACACTGTCGTTACAAAGGGCAAACAATAACAATGTAATTCAATAAACACAAAATAATAGCACACATGCGATCAAAAAGTCAATTTGTCACTCGATTAACGTTAAAAGAGTCTGAATAATTGAATTACGACCAATCGGAGGCGGTCTCGGCGCGACACAATCGAATGTTATTCGAATGGACCAATGGGGGCGAGAGTCGGCGTGTCGCGCAAATCTGACATCTGTCATACGTGAGTTGGGAGCGGTTGTTAGCGGCGCGGCGAGACGAGCACGACAGTTGTCGCGGCCCGCGGACCTCATTGTGTTTTATTGTCACGTTTTATCCAATCTATCAGTGAAATTACATTTGTTAGTTGTTGATTTAGTTCTTTATTTGTTATTGTATAACTGTCTACAACTGATTGTTATTATTCTTGCCATGTTTGTGTCTACGTAGGTTTTACGTATTACACACATACTGACAACACAACTTTGTAAACTTTAAAACTGAACAATTAAATCATAATATCTATAAAGCTAGATTTAAACCTTTTGCCGATGTGGTAACCCTAAAATATAAATACAGTTTTATGGCGAAAGTTCTGACATCGCAGCGCCTAAGTGTAAGTGTAGTAAGGAAAGTGTAAGTAACGCCAAACAAACAACTGCCGTGCGATTGCGTTTAATTTTTACTGGCCGGGGGACGGCGGGGGGAAGTACCACTAGAGGCGGGAAATCATCAAAATATCGATAACATTGTATTTTTTTATTTTTCAGCAAAAATTGTCTTTGTTTCGTTATGCTTTGTAAATATTTTATAATTTGTAACCAATCAGATAAAAACCTGATCTATTATTTAAATTCACACTGATAGTTTACAGTCATCTATGTGTAGCAGTACAATAAGTCTATACCTAAAAACAAAAATTAAATAATTAAATGGAATAATTGAAATTAGATGTAAATTTAATTTCGATAAATTTGTCGACAACTCTAGCGGTCGACCATGGCGTGTCAAAGTGTCACTTATTAGCCCCAAACAC